TAATAGTATTTACAGTTTCATTAGCTGATGAAGATGTCATCTTTCAGCTGATCTACCTAATTTGTAACATTTTTTAGCACGTTATATTTCTCTCAAATTCATTCGAAATGTTAGTGGTGGTTTTTCTATCACCCTTCGTTCCACATCAAGGGATGTAGATTTCAGCAGGTTTCAATCCGCTGCAGGAGGAGATGTTGCTCAGAGGAAAGAGAAGTATGTGTCCGAGATTCAGTTTTATTCTGTAATTGCTGATCTGAATCACTTATACTTTTTCACCGGCTCTTGAGTATTCGTTGTCTTTTTGTAGTATTCTGCAAGAAATTTCATATTTTTTTCCAAGCTTTTCTTAGACAGAAGAAGGACAAGTCACCTATTCTGATTGATGGGCGGTACAGGATATATGGAAGTGCGGAGATGGAGGACGTCTTGGAAAAGCTTCATGTGGCATTCGTTCATTGTGCCGTCAATAATCTGTAAGTTTTCTTAATGTTACATTTAGCTAGAATAGTTTTCAATACTACCATTTTTTTTCAAAACCTCACACTTTTTCGAAACCTGACATATTGATGTGCTGTTTCATGCAGACGAATCCTCTTCAAAAGTCGGTTTTACTGCCTCGGATTTTCTAATGCCGCAAATGAAGTGTACTCGCGGTGCTGGTTTTGCAAGACAGAAGGAAGGAGAAAACATCGCTTCCCGGTAAAATGTTGGTTCCTTCTACTGTTCGAGTCGTTTTCCTCATTTTTTTTCTTGTTTCTTCTTCGTTTTCACTGTTTTGCTGTTCGGCTATGATCTATATGGAACATCGTGGGTGCCACTGTCAGCAGCTGATTTGTGGTAAATCACACAGCTTTTTTCTGAAGACAACTGTATACTCAACTCCGTGTATGCTTACCTCCGCCTTACCATAGCCAAACGCGCCTCCTGTGTGCACCTTCTGTTGTACTTCTACCTCTACGTTCGCTGTGGGATTCTGATGTTGACGCGTGGCTGCACCTTGGGGGTGGCACGGCGGAGTCAAAAGGCAGCACCCAACCCTCGCACATGGCAAGTATCGTCCTCAAAGGTTATTGCACTGTTTGTCTCAAAAGATTGTGATGAAAGCAATTCTATGAATGATCAGTCGCCATCTAAATATGCACTGAAATCACGCACACCATATTGAGGAGCTTAGGAATGTCAAACTTTAATAACTGCCACCTGTGAAGATAACTGGCTCAACATCCTTTCCTTCACTTCACGACATGTCGACACAATTCTGTTCGCGTACCACTAGGTGGCGTGGATGTCAGTGGCTGTCAACTGCCTTATCATGTCGTTCTCGAAGTTACGTTCATACTTCACTAGTCGGTGTTTCGAGAGATTCAGTGTTTTGAGCGATTCGGCGTTCTAGGAGGATCTCGCTTTTGGGCGCCACTCGATACCTATTCTACATTATATGCATTTCTCTTAAGACGCTGATTCCCTCGAAACGCGAAAACGGTTCAAATACTTTCCTCTCAAATCGCATGTTAGCAAAGTACGCAGCAACTCGAAACGCGAATCGCTAGCTATACCTGCTCCCCCAGAAACATTTTTTTTTATTGATTCGTAGTTCATGATGGCACCTAACGCAACAATTGCCGCAGCAGTGGCGATATTGCCTTTACCATTAGAGGACACCTTACCAGTAACTACTTTCATTTTGTTATTCTTCATGATTTCGTTACTCCTATTGTGTTTACTTTTGCATTCATGAAAACATTTACAGGTTACGAGTACGACGTGATAGTACAGGGTGATATTAATGATCCTTCGCGAAATTTCGTAATTAAACCTCGCGGAATATCGCCTGAAGAAGCCGAACAGTTTATGACTTCTGTGCTAGGATCCTGTGATGGCACTATTACTTTGGAGGAAGCCGCAACTATGGCCGATACGTCAAACGAGGTGAGTACAGAGACTTTGGCTTTTTTTCAAGTAAGCTCAACTCAATGTGATGAGCTGGTCCGAATTTACGGTTCATTCTCTGAAGACGATGTCATGTAAAACTGCGAATGTAGGTCAAACCATTTTTCAACGGATTTGGGAGCCATTTTTTTATAGCCAGTGCTGGATTGCCGCACCACTGTGCAACTCCTTTCCTTCCTTTCCGTTTGGCGATCATCAGTGGAGACGGGCACGAGAACGTAAATTTGTTCCGCAGGCGCGAGACGGCGCGAACGCTTTCTCGACTGCGTGTACACCTGCCAATTGAGCACCGACTTAAGTAGACCCGTTATTATATTATCATTTATTAATAATATGCACCTAGTGCGCTACCTCTTGATACATAATGCAGTCGCGGACTAAACAAGAAGAACGGAAACAAAAGACAAAAAAATTCAAACACCACAAGAAAGCGTATAACACAACCATAGAGAACACCAAACCACAAATAGCTCCGAATGGCACAGAGCAGCACAAAATTCAGCGGAGTAGTAAAAAATGTTAACTACTACCTACATCACAGTGAAGGAATTGATCCCCCAGTCGGTCGGGAATGTAGCTAGTGTAAATAGTAGAAAACAAAGAAAGAGTTGTCGCCATCTACTACCTGGAATCATTGCCATTCTTCTGATCTTCTTGTCACATACCCCATCAGGTCGCGTTCATACTTTGCAGAAGTGAGGGATTGACGGATTGAAGACATGAAGAGATCACGAAGAGAGGTGCCTACGTACCATTATGAATAATCGAAACATAAAAGAATAGTGGAATTTGGAGATCTGAAGAATTTTGCGAATGAATTGTCGATTGGAAAGACTGAAAAATCGACGAGTTGAAGAATCGTAGGTCGAGGAGAACTTGGCGAAAAGGATTAGATACCTTCGCACATTCGTCGATTCTTCTCTTGCTATTATTCGCCAATTGTTGCGGATGGTGGGCTGTGTAAGGAGAAATGCGGATCATAGGGCGTGGCAGGAGGCACGGCTTTGGCGCGGCGCCAAACCCATTCTTCACCAGTTGTTGAAGCGAGCAAGCGACAAGACGGACGACGTATCGTTTGTATCAGTCGTTTTCCGGCAGTTGTTGTCCCTTATCCGTTTCAACAACTGGTAGAGAATGAGCAGGTGGCGCGCAACCTGGCCTCACTGACACGCCTCATTATCCGAAGCGAAAAATTGTGTCGAATTGTAACTCTTCTATTCTTCACTTTCGCTAAGTATGAACCTGAATGTTTCCCTGGATGTGTGCATTTTCCAAGCCCGAACATTTTCAGAAAATCAAAGAAATGGCCTGAAAATCAAACTTGTAACGACTTTTGCCCATAACTCAGCATTCTTGTGATAACATTCGGAACGCGAACTGCGGCGTTAAACAGCAGTTATCATAACAAAACAGCTTCAAAAACTTGTAAAGCCTTCGGCCTCGCGGTTCATTGCCGATATCTAACGATTACGGCTGACCGGCTCACCAAGTTAAACGTGTGAGTGCTGTAAGGCTACGGCATAAAAGCCGTTAAGCTGAGAGGGTAAAAGCGGCCCTGGTGGCGTAACTCGCCCGGAAAGCGTGAGGTGCGGGTTCGACTCCCACCTGGGGTACGACTGGGGACTTTTGCCCATAACTCAGCATTCTTGTGACAAACTTGTAACGTTTCATGTTTTTACAGTATTTTACAGGACTTCACAGAATGGTCCGACTTTCATATAGGAATTTACACATTGGTCCGTTGAACTAGCGCTTATGGTTTCTTTTTAACAGGTGTCACCATCGACGAAGAAGCGAAAGCTCGGTGAGAAGATGCG